TTCCACGAGTTAACTTAGAAGAAGTTTAATGGGATAAACTATAGCACCCACTTCTGCAGCTGGTCTTGAGGCCACAATTGTTATTCAGCTCTGCTGCTCCTTCTAAGCTAATCTCTCTGTTGGTCTGAGATGGCCGCTTGGTAAAATACCTGCAACTTTCCTCCCTTAGGGGGTCACTGCAAGTCCTGGTGGGGGGTGGAGTTCTACATAGTTACTCAGTGACCCAGCTGAGTGAGGCTCCACTGTCTAGATCATTGCTGGCCACGGTGTCAGAGGAAGAGAAAGCTGGGTGGTGTGGACTGGCTCCTCTGAGCTTTGGCCTGGAGGGGACATGCATCACTTCTGCTCTAAGCCCATTGGCAGAGCTAGTCAAGGACCTGCCTCATTGCAGGGGAACTGGGAAACAAGAGGAGGTTGACTTCAGAATGGTGGTGAGCACCAGGCTCTGCCACGGTCTCCCTTTTTGGTTATTAGCCATTCCTGCACTCCTTTTATTCCACACCTACTACATAGTCACCCCCTCCTTAGGGGGGATAACTCCAAGTCCTTGTCCGTCAAGGTATTGAGCTCCAAGTAATACATAGTAATCTCTACATCAAATCCAGACGTTGTTCCTTTTCATCCCAAAACATTGGAACTACAGTGACCAAATTATCTGCCCCCCGCCACCCATCTCTTTCCCTTGCACCCATCCCCCAGATGTGGTGATCAGATAGGGCCAGGGTAATCGCAACAAGCAATCCTATTTGGGAAATTGAAAAATACAGTCACTGGTTATTTATGATTTGCACTTTTATTGGGCAGATGTTGTGAGCATCCCCTGCCCTGGGGCTGGAGAATATTCCTTGGTGAGGCCCCGAATCTGATCTCTGCAGGAGCACTCTGTCCACTGTTCTCTGTGGGACCGGCCGCCCCTGTGGAGAGCCTTTCTTTCCCACTCTCCTCCTTGAATATGTCTGAAGTAGGTAGTAGAAAATGTGTTCTCCTTGGGGGCTGCTCAGCTTTCTCAGCTTCCTATCTGAAAAAGACTGGGGGCCCAAGTGTCATTTCAAGGCAGTCCTTCTCAACCTGGACACTATTGACATTTTGGATGAATAATTCTTTCTTTTGAGGGGCTGTCCTGTGCATCGTAGAATGTTTAGCAGTATTCTTGGCCTCTACCCACTGGATGCCAGCAGGCTTCCCCAGTTGCGACAACCAAAAATGGCTCCAGACATTACCAAATATCTCCCAGGGGCAAAATTGCCCTGAATTGAGAACCACTGGTTTAAGGCTAGAACAGTCGCAGAATTAAGATAGTACAGCGCTCTTAGAAACTATGGAGGCTTCTTATCTTTTTAATCACAGTTCTTTTCCAAACACATTTGTTAGCCCACTGGCTATATATTCTTGGACTCAATGTCTGCCTTTAAGCTTTCAGGCTTCTAGTGGCAAGTCTGAGGCATTGTCATTAATTGAAAGAGTCTGCAGGTTTTTTTCCCTCAAAGGCTTTCAGAATTATGATGTGAAAATGATGCATAAGAAACAAGTCCAAGGTATCAGTGGCTTAAAACAGCATTTATTGCTCACTCGGGGTCTGCAGCTTGGCTCTGTGGTACTGCTGCAGATCATGGAGTCCGGTTCAGGGTTTGCTCCGTGTTCAGGATTTGGCATCCAGGCTGAAGGAGTACCTGCCTGGGGTACATCCTTTCCTCACGGTGAAAGAGAAGAGCAAGAGCCAGGCCAAATCAAGCAGCACCTTTAAAACTTCTCTTCAGGTTCGGTGAACTCGCGTTCCCTCACATTTCATTGGCCGAAACAAGTCATCTGACCAGGCCCATCATAGGCCCATCAATACGGTGAAGGAGTGTACTGCGCTGGGAGGGGGAGATATTGCTGAACAATCCATCTGGTTTTTTTGAAGGGTCTAGTAGCATTTAGCTTTCCCAGAATGGCAAGGCCCCGAAATTCTAGACTCTCTGTTCCCTTTCATTTCTTCTTTTAAAGTGGCCAGTTCTTTCAAATGCAGCCAGTAGCCACCAACACACTACTAAAGTTTTGCTTTACAGTCTCTTCTGTGATCCTGTGTTTATAATAGTAACACCCCACTCTTGGCACCAATTTTGGTGGTCAGGATAGACTAGTGTAAAGGAAAAACATTCCTATGTGTCTTCTTTACTGTCACACTACTACCGTATTACTTCTGACACCAGGTGTGTGATAGTTTTTCACATACTGAACAATTCTCAGATTCTCTGGGCACCAACTGGGTGTCCTACAATTTAACTCAATTCTGACACTGTCTCCCTTGAGATAGCATCAGATCCCACACGGGAAGGGCTCAGTCCCACAAGACTGCCCCCACTTCAGATGCCAATCACAAGAGCAGGTTGTTACCTGTGTTTCTGACCTACTGGCTATAATTCAGGTCCCATGACCCTCTTCTCAGGTTTAATTAATTTGCTATAGTGGCTCATAGAACTCAGGAAAACATTTTACTTACTAGAGTACTGGTTTTATTACAAAGGACTTAACTCAGGAACAGCCAGATGGAGAGATGCGTAGGGCAAGGTATGTGGGAAGGGAAGGGGCACGGAGCTTCCATGCCCTCCCTCTCTGGACGTGCCACTCTCCCAGCACCTCCATGTGTTCACCAACCTGGAGGCTCTCCAGACCAGTCCTTCCAGGTTTTTATGGAGGCTTCATCACGTAGGCATGATTGATTAAATCGTTGGCCATTGATGATTGAACTTAATCTCTAGCGCCTCTCCCCACCAAGGGAGGAAGTCTGGGCTCAGCAGTGGCACGGAAAAGTTCTAACCCTCTAATTACTCTGTTGGTTCCTCTGGCAACCAGCCCCCCATCCTTTGGGGCTCTCCAAAAGTCAACTTATTAACGTAAACTCAGTTGTAGTTGAAAGGGACTTCTTATGAATAACAAAAGGCTCTCCTATCACCTATATTGCTCTTATTAGGAAATTCCAAGGGTTCTAGGAGCTCTGTGGCAGTACTTGGACAAAGACCAAGTATATATTTCTTATTATAAATCACAATATCACAGCTAGGCCATGCCAAGGTAACAGATAAACCCTAAATTCTCAGTGGCTTAACACAACTAAGGTTTATTTCCCACACTGCATGTCCAGTGCAGGTCATGGTTGGTTGAGGACTCTGCTTGACAAGGATGCTCAGCAGCCCAGGCTGACAGAGAGTCCAGTGTCTAGAATGTTACTAATCCCCAAAGCAGGAGAGGAGACAGCAGGGCCCACTCATACCCCATTGACTAGAACTAAGGCTGGAAAAATGGGGGAGAGAGGATGGCCTATTAGGTAAGTTCCACTGCCTCTGCCACAAATTCATACAAATTCGATTTTTCGCCTCTTATATAGTTAGCAGTGTTACTAACATCTGTAGAAAGGTGCATCTTGATATATAAGGATGAATGTCAGGTAATATTCTTTGAGGCAGTTTTTGACAATTTGTTTTTTCTTAGCAAAAAATACCTACTCCTAAAAAAAATTGCTTTTGCTCTTGATTTTTCCAAAATAACATGTTTAAACTTGAAATCTTTATTTCTAGACTAGAATGCAGTAGTATGAAGAGTCCTTAATCTTTAACCATCACTGTAGACATTGAAGTAGTGTCAGAGCTTTTGATGGTTATTCTTGAACATGAAGAGTTACTTTGTATTTTAGAAATGGTGGCGACGTTGTATTTGCAGAATGGCAATAATGAAAATTTTCATCTTCTCTTTCACTAAGCCTTTTTCTTTTTTTTTTTTGAGGAAGATTACCCCTCAGCTAACTACTGCCAATCCTCCTCTTTTTGCTGAGGAAGCCTGGCCCAGAGCTAACATCCGTGCCCATCTTCCTCTACTTTATACATGGGATGCCTACCTTGTCCATGTCCATGTCCGCACCTGGGATCTGAACTGGTGAACCCCGGGCTGCCAAGAAGCAGAACATGCAAACTTAACCGCTGAGCCACCGAGCCGACCCCTCACTAAGCCTCTTGATATCTATTTTTAATTTGATAAAGCCCTTAGATTACGTATCTTCTAAAGCCACCCATGATTGCCTATCAAAATACGCTAAAGACAATATACATGCATTCTGAATATAGATGTTACAAAAGTAATCATTGTTTCAGGCCAGCCTTTTTTTCTTTTGTATTAATCACTGGTATTCAGTGTATGTACTGCACATCAGTACCAGTAATGGACTGTATGTGTGTTGTGGACATATGCTTGCTTTCCTTGGTCTCTTGGTTCATAGTAGGATTCGGCAGAGCTAACAGGCAAAGTATGTTGAACGTGCAACCATATGCTGCTGTCTTCCTTTTAATGATCCAATAGCAGAGATCCTTAAGGTCAGGGTTAAGTGGAAAATTCTTCACAAAGACATTATTTAGTAGCATCAAAAGTAAGTAATCGTGTGGATTTGTGGCGACAAGACTAGGGTGTCCTATCTCTACTGCAGACAAAAATTTTATGAACAAATTTGCGTGATTTTGTGTGGGAGATCAGTGATGGAAAGATTGATGGTGACTATTTCGGTCTTTTAGAATTGAATGTCTGCCCATTTCAAAGGTCAAATGCCATTTGCTTGGATGGACATAGAATGGCCCATTGTTGATTTGTAATAGCTATATAAAGCTCATTGTGACTTTAAAATGAGATTTTTTAAATGCTGATAATTCAGTATACAAGTGAATATAAATGCTAACTTAGGATTCTCTTTCTTTTGCCATAATAGTTATTACCAAAAATTTCTAGCTAATCATAATTTCTAGCAGGTAAAACATTACTAACTTGTCTGATAACTGTGTATATTCATAAATTTAAAATGCCATAAGCTAATTTGTCAGTTTTGCCTATTATGATGTTTCTGTGTAGTGATACCAGTTCTAGTGAGGGAAATGAACACTTAGCATGAATTGTTTTGCTGGTGATCTGATAACTTGTGAACTGCAAAATACTTATATGTATCATAGCAGTGATTTTTTATTTTTACTTTTTTGAAGGACTTAAAGCCCAGTAATATAGTAGTAAAATCAGACTGCACTTTGAAGATTCTTGACTTTGGACTGGCCAGGACTGCAGGAACTAGTTTTATGATGACACCTTACGTAGTGACTCGCTACTACAGAGCACCTGAGGTCATCCTAGGCATGGGCTACAAAGAAAACGGTCAGCAAACACTATTTACTTGAAATACTGTTCTGATTTATTTGCTTTTATCAGATTTCTTATGTAAATATTTAAGCTGAATTGCGTAGAGTTAAACGTGTATCACTGTTTGAAATGTTTATCAAGAGGTTGAAAGTATGAATTTTGTCATAAATCTTTGGAAAAGCTTGAGGCCCCTGTTTGTTTAAGTACAGATACGTAACCATCAGTACTACCTTTGGATAAAGAATTTGTTGCCATGGCCCCTGAGCCAAAATATATGCCATTTGCTTGCCTGTAACTTGAAAATGAGCATTTCTAGCATGGGTTCAAGGAAGTTTATACTGGACTGACAGTTGATCTTTAGTAGTAATCCTAGTTTGCCTTAGTGGTATTTGCACATATTTCCAAACTCATGAAACTAAAGTTAATAGCAGTAGCACTTAGTGTAAACTCTAAGAGCTACTATAAGGCCCCTCTGCAAAGCTGATGGATAGTTAATTAAGGTGCCCTTTTGGAGGAAACAGTGTTTCATCAAAGCATTGTGTCCAGCCTTAAAGAAACGATATTATGTGTGAGTATATTTACATATATCAGCTTTAGAGTTAAGCTTGAAGAAAATTACCAGGCATGCATTTCATGAATTTAAAAAACGTTTATACTTACATATGTTTATACTTAATTTAAGAAATTTTGTTCAATCTCAGACATTTAGGAAGTGAATAAGTCTGCATAGGATTTTGTTGACTTAAACTATAACTTTTTAAGTGTAGTAACTTTATTCAAAATACTCCCTGAAAAAAGACCTAGACGTTTTTTTCCACAAGGAATGTGGAGCAGCACTTCACTCTGAGTCAGGAAACTGTATTAAGTCAACTTGCAGGATTTTTTAATAAAATATAGCATTGAGGATTTTAGCTTAATTTCCTTTTCTGAGCTAATTTAAAAAAATGCTTTAAATATTTACTATCATTCTTCTTAAATAAACATGCTGTTCTTTTTTCTTACTCTACCTAAAAACGTCTTATACCCTGTAGAATCCAGTAGGTTGGATTTAGTATTAGACGCATTCTTTTTCTTTGAGAATTGATACTTCAGGTGACCAGCAGGAAGGTTACTTTTGCATTTGCTGTGAAACCACTTATTGTCACAGATACTGTATAGTGTCACTCAGTGTCCCATAAATGTGATCTTGGGAGATAGCTCTCTACCAGAAATTAGCACAAAGAAAAACTGTCATATATAAAGAATTGACATGCTTTCCTGTCTTAGGTAAGAATTACGTAGATCACCTTAGTGCCTTTTTTCTTTGCCCCAGGAAACTGAGTCAAATGTCCTACTTCGTCATGATAACTCCATTAGCCAGTGAGGTTAAACATAAGAACTTTTAGTGACACACCCCACACCCCCAGCTCCTCCCCACCCCCACCTGCTTTAACACTTTGTTTTATCTATCTTTTATTGCAAGCTCCCTCAATGCTTTTTGGAAAGTGTGATGTAACAGAATATATTTAAAGTGCATAGACTGAACAGTTAGACCTTCTGAAGCTAGTTTCGTGTATGAATCAGGCTCATTGTGTTCCGAGAAAGTCTTCACTGACCCAGACAGGATCTTCTCTTGTGCTTGCAGCTTTCAAAATCTGTTTAAAAATAGGTTTTTTGTAAGGTTACCTGCGTAAGTTGTGTCCTGGATTTAACTAAAGCTCTCTATAGCATCTCTAGGGAAAATTATTGTATTAGAGTTTTGCCAAAAATGAAAACCCTGGAAAAAACTTTTCTCTGAATCGATTTATGAATATTAACTTTTCCTCTAAAATTTTGTCTTTGAAAATTGTCATACCATAATATAAAAAGATTTGTATGTATTTTAATATGACATTTTAGAGAAAATTTAGTTCCAAAGGATTTCCAAAAATATATTCCCAATTTAGCTCCTAAGATTCTCTAATGAACTGGCAGTCTCCTTGTGAGCGTATTAGAAAGTACAGGCTTTAATTTCCTAAGTCCTCCAGCATGGATAAAGGGTGTATCTCTCTCTCCAGCATCCATTCCTGCCGTTTTCCTCTTTTGCTCTTAAAGAATTAGGGCCTTCAAACTTCAAAAACAAATTAAGTTTCTAAGGCTTTCCTTTCGAATTGCTCATCCTTCCCCTCGTCCATGAAACTGCAAGCCTCCTCTTATCTGATTTTCAAACCCAAAGATACAAAACGTTAGGGTGTGTGTTAGTTTTAATGAAACAGGTGGGGATCCCCAAATCGCCTGGTTCTGTGTCTAGCAGATTCTTTTCAGCATTGATTAGAGCTCCCATTTAAAGTTGATGAAGTCAGTAAGTAAGACTCTTTGTAGATAAGAAATCTGTGGGCGTTTTCATCCTGTCTCCAGCCAAAACTAACTTCTTAAACCAAAAGCACTTGGTTTTATGGGCTTAATAAACTTTAGGTGGAAAACATCTGAAAATAGATCTTTCAGTAAGTTTTCTTCATTGAGTGTTGGTTTGCTCTGTATGCGTTTGTTCATTTTGGATTAGTTGGGTAAATGTAGCGTGACGTTGCCAAGAAAATAACGGGCTTTCAATTCAGAAGAAACAACACTTCTCGAATCAGTTTATGAAATCCAGTTTGAAAATTTCTGAAGAGCTTCAGATTAGCTTTTTAACTGTAATTATTCATAGAAACATATTCTGTTAAATATTTTAATATACTAAATTGTTTCTGCTCATGCTTTTTTCTTTTATTTGACTTAAAGAGAGGGTATAATGCACAGTTGAACCTCAAAATAGTATCAAGATTTTATTTCTTAAATTGTGCTACCTCGTATACATTTTCCCTCTTATTTACAAAGTTTGTGTTTGATTCTATTTCATGTTTTATAAACAAATTTTCAGTGACAAAATGTATAGGTTTTTAAATTATGTGATTTCTGTGCATAGCTCTCACTTTAAAATTAGATATGTAGTTAAAAGGCCACACTTCACGTTTGCTTTTGTGAATCAAGCCTTTTGAAAAATATTTTGTTTTAAATTATTCCATTAGCTAAAGTTCAAATCACTTTTTTCTTTTTGTGTATATAATGCAGTCATATTATGCTTCTTTGATTTTAACGACCTTTTGCTTTGCTTTTCCTTTTGTGCTGCAAACATATAGTGGATTTATGGTCTGTGGGGTGCATTATGGGAGAAATGGTTTGCCACAAAATCCTCTTTCCAGGAAGGGACTGTATCCTTGTGCTGCTGCAGCGGTTTGACAGCCAGCTGCTGCGCTTCCGCGTGCCCTCTAAGGAAACGAGTGTGCTGCGTTCACACATGCGGGTTTCTTTGTGGCTGTTAGAGTCCAAAATTGCTGAGATAAGAAGCTGAACTATCCGTAGGCTGCATCTGGCAGTAGGACATACAGTCTCTGCTGGTAGTTAGAGCACATTCACTGTCACTCATCTTTATTTTATACTGCTTTCTATAATTTTAAAGCATACATGGTGTGCGTTTTTTTTTTTTTGATGTTTATATATTTTTTTTATTTTAACCAAAATCTTTATGTTAATGTCATTGCATTTTGTTTTCAGTTGACATTTGGTCAGTTGGGTGCATCATGGGAGAAATGATCAAAGGTGGTGTTTTGTTCCCAGGTACAGATCGTATCCTTATCTTTGGCCTAAAATGTAGTTTCTGAAGGTCAAAAAATGTATGAAAGCACTTCAGCTTGGTCAGGTATAATGTATTTTGTCTCTCCCTAATAATATGTATTATTGTTAAATTACTCTTTCAAAATACCACCTGCTATTTGACATAGACTTGCCTTTCCCTCATTTATTGATTGTTTCGTATGTTAATTCTGACAGTTGCTGAAGCTCATTATCTGCAATTACTTGCTGGCTTTGAGTTGATTTATTTAACCTAAATCAAACATCATGGCTTGCATTAAAAATTTCTAATAATTATTCACTTGAGTAAGTCTAGAAGTACTTAGGACTTAATATGAATTTTGGAATTGTTTGTTGCTTCTGGTCATCCTTTTGTTTTGTCCCCCCACCTCCTTTTTTGTTAATGTTCTGTGTATTTTCTGTCTTTTGGTTGTTGTCTCATTACTCGACATAACATACTCATCTGAGAATTTCAGCAGTTAATAGTTTTATATGGTGATGAATAGATTTGGGTTCATGCTTTTTGTTCATCTGACTGTTTTTAATATTTACATTAGTGTGACCTGTCATGTGTGTATCAGTCAGTAACGCTGAGAAGTGTTGGAGGAGGAGTGGGGAAGCCATGTTCACTGGGTGGCCGTAAGGAAGTTTCAGATCTCAATCTGCAGGGAAGACTTGGAGCGTAAAGTCCAGGAGGAAGGAGACCAGGGAATCCTAACCTTACAACTTACAGCAATACGGGATCATTTTCCTAAAAGGTTCAGAACCTTAAAAAAATCTTATTAACCTAAGCTAAACAAAGAATAGCGAAAGAAAAGCCATCATTTTTATTGCTACTACTTATTTTCCGTTAGTATAGAAAGCTCAAAAAAGCAGGGCAGATTCTAAGAGATATTTCTTAGCCTCTAGGAAATGCATTTACATTTTCTGATAAGCTGGGAAAAAAGGTTAAGTTTGTATTCTAGAATTGTGTACAGTTTACGTTTAGAGTCCCTATGGGTAGTAATTGTCATTATTGTTTGAGTCACTTATCATTTGTATTTACAATTTGTGACTTTAAGCTTCTATTTTTATGATAAAATCAGTATTAGCAGACACACACACACAATAAGCAAGATTAACAAAGTTTGTTTATTGATCCTTTCTGTCCACCTACAGTCATTGCCTTTTGCAAGGTGCCTGTAAGGTACAAGATTTATAGCTGCCACATTCCTTCTTAGGATTTTTTAAATTGCCATTTTCTTATTATTTTAATATGAATGTGACTAATGTGTTGAACATTAGATACAGAGTATTTTTCTTAGCTACTTGCTATTAGATATTGATCAGTGGAATAAAGTTATCGAACAGCTTGGAACACCATGTCCTGAATTCATGAAGAAACTACAGCCAACAGTAAGGACTTATGTCGAAAACAGACCTAAATATGCTGGATATAGCTTTGAGAAACTCTTCCCTGATGTACTTTTCCCAGCTGACTCAGAACACAACAAACTTAAAGGTACTTTTTATAAATATATATATTTAACTCCATTTGGTGTGTGTGCATATGTGTCCATGTTCTTATGAAACATAACCCAAAGTTATCTCTGGGTGGCGGAACGAAGTGAGGTTTTAGTTATTTTTTTCTGTAATTTTATGTTTTTTAATCATATATATGACCTGATTTTATAGCAAAATCTGTTTTTCTTGAAACATATACTTTTTAGTAAATGATAATTTCAAGTTTCTAAAATTTGTTAATAATTTGAAAACCTTCGTGAAATGTGTGCACATTAACGTCATTATTTTTGCAGCCAGTCAGGCAAGGGATTTATTATCCAAAATGCTGGTGATTGACGCGTCTAAAAGGATCTCTGTGGATGAAGCGCTCCAGCACCCGTACATCAATGTCTGGTATGACCCTTCGGAAGCAGAAGCTGTAAGTTCTTTCCTTAGTGTTTGAAGAATGTACTGTACTCTCAGAGTTAGAATCAAAGTTAGGTTTTGGAGGCAGCTTTTTAATTTTAAATTAAAATATAGATAAATGATGATGGCCTTTTGCTGTTTTTACATGAAAAGTACCTTAAGTTCATGAGCACATCTAAGCACCTTTGATACAAAATAAAATTACCTCCCACTGTTTCTTGCCTTCTTTCCTTGATAGCTGATCTGATGAGCTACAGTGTGGAGTGCTTTCAGAAAACATCCTAATTTAGCTATAAAACAAATTAGTGTGTCCAATGCATAGCACAATTCTGTGATACAAACAAAATGTGGCAATTTCAAAAACTGGAAGAAAAGAAAGACAAACTTAAAGTCTTTTTTCTGTCATGAAGGAATCTTTCAAAACTCATCTCTCTACGTAAGAAGATGGTTGATGATGGATCAGTCTTGGTCTACGCTGTATTTTTACAAGCCTTCTGTCTGGCTAATATTTCAGATAATTATGAGAGTTTATAGACTGCCAGTACACTGACTTAATTCTTGTTGCCTTATGTTTTTCAGCCACCACCAAAGATACCTGACAAGCAGTTAGATGAAAGGGAACACACGATAGAAGAGTGGAAAGGTAACACTTACCAGCTTCTTAGAGGGGAAGCTGAAAGAGCTTCTGGGTTTTTATGTGGATTTATTCATCATTTTAGGGAAATTATAGATATTTCCTATTATTCGTAAGTGATATTTGGTCATGTGATTGTTAATATTTTTACAAAAGTAGAAATTGAGTCTCCTTCCCTCCCTGACTTAATCCTGATCTCTCATGTTCCCCACCCCAGACACAGACACATTTAGCGCTTTCTGGAATTTTTATGTTCTTCCATAGTCTACAAGTATACAAGTGTGTTTAGTGTCTCTCCCTTGTCCCCTCCCACCCTGTTTTAATCACAAATGGTTTTATACTGTGCACACTTGCTCTGTTGGTATAATCACGTCTTAGAGATTCTTCTCTCTCTCTCCACGTATCTGGCTCATTTGTTTAATAGCTGGTTAGTGTTCTGTTGTGTGGCTGTGTCACAGGATCTATATCCAGTTCCCTCTTGAAGAGCGTTTAAGTTGTGTCCAGTCTCTTATTGTTACAAGCAACTCTATAATGTTCTTGTGCATGTGTGAGAACATGCCTGTAAGAACAACCCTACAAGAAGATTTGCCAGGCCGAAGGATATTTTTAAATTATTTCCTAACTACTCTTAAAAGAAATTGTAGCAGTTTACACTGCCCATCAGCATTGTGTAGGAATGTCTCCGTTACCCCTACCCTCACCAACAGAGTGAGTTAAGTTTTAATCTTTGCAAATCTAATATAGTAGTTTTATTTTATTTTGAGAATGTGGTTGAACATTAATAATGCTTGGATAGTCATGGAAATGTTAAAATCTCTCTTTCTTTAGAAGATTCCCTGGGACATTTGGGCCAGGTAATTTTTAGGTTCTGTTTACCTCCATTTGTGGTATTGTCATTTAGTGTTTTGACCACTTTTGTAGCTATGTGACTTTGGGCAAGTCACTTGACCCCCTTTTTCACCTAATCTTAAAATGGAGAGAAGACATGTTATTAAGAGCTAGGTGCCTAAATACTTGGAAGGCTGGTGAGCTATAAACCTGAACAGATAATCCATCTGTAAATTTAATGGGAGGAGTGAATTTGATTCTTTCTTCTGAGGGGTAACCTGAGATCAGTTTTCTCTGAGTTGACTTTGGAAGACATATAGTTAGATTCTGTGGAGCCCACCGGAATGATAGGACTGGCAAGAACCTAGTGCATCTGTATATGTAATAAGTAACATACAAGGGTATTATTACTGAGAACCAGAGTATGTATTAACATATCTAACCTGATATTTTTATATATCATTACGTTTACAATAGACAGTTATGGTGTTTCATGAACTCTTAAAAGGCCACCAATTGTAAAACACATCATTATGTACCACTAAGAGAAAACACTGCCAGTTACACTGCGTGATTGATAAGATGCAGCCCAATTTCAGAGATACTAAACTGTGAAAAAAGCACATCTTAAAGTCAGTGAAACATAGTATTTTCCTTTGTATAAGGATAGATAGATCTGAGATTTTTGGTTACTCTGAACATGTTTACCTTTATTCTGTATCTTTTTCTCCTAGCCCCAAGTGCAGTTCAGTAATCACCCACAAACTGCCTTTTACAAGATCTGCTTAAGAGTTTTATCATAACAGAAAGAAAAATCCATTGCCAAAGCCATTAGCTACAGATTACTTTGTCTAGTTAGTTCTCCTAATTAGCTTTGGTTCTTCTGCCTTAATCCCTTTTCACAAAGGGGTGCTGTTTTCTCTCTTCTCTTTTTTTTAGTCCTCCTATCTGCAATGCCTATCATTCCGTTTTGTTTCTTTGAAGAAAAACATCTCCCATTCTCTCCTCCATCAAGACTTCCTGTTTCTCCTTCCAAGCCCAAGGAGGTTACCATAGCAAGCAAACTTAGGTGTCTCTAGTTCCTGTTCATTCCAACATATCCACTTGTCTACCTTATTGTCTTCGTCGATGTTGTCATCCCCTGTAATCAGAGACTCTATCAGAAGTTTGAAGAATACGCAGACTTCTTGACATTCTGCACAACATTTTTTTCTCGTACCTTTTTTCTCAGAGGAGGGTTCGTTGCTTTTATGCAATTCTCAGAGAATTCCATGACTGAAAGAAGATGAATAATGACGATGTAGTATCCACTAGAAGGTTCTTCTCGAGTAGACATTCAGACTCACAAGGTGCATCACACTTTACGTTAGATCACTTAGAAGAATATGAGGCAGGAGCGCATGCTCCAGCGGGGCAGCCCCTGGGCTGTCTCTTCAGTTGGAACAGTCCTCACAGCAGGCCCCCCACTGTCCAGAAGCCTAGTCAAAGAGCAGGGTTCCCATGGAGAAAGCTTGACAGTGACAGCATGTCATGCTTCAATTTATAAGGAGTTGAAGCTTCCTTTAATAAAAATGTATTTGTATTCCATTCTGATTAAAGAAGCTTCCACACACTCTTGCACTTAAATCTTTTAACAGGTATCTAAGTAATAAGCACCTGCGATGTACCAGGTACTATGTTAGGGCTTAGGAAATAGGAGTTAATAAGACAGATGTGACTCATGCCCTCACTGAGACAAAATTAAGCAAGCGTTTGTGGTACAGAATGATGTGTGGTGTGATAGGGCGTAGTACAAAGTGCTGGTGAAGTCAGAAGGTAAAGCTAACTGTTACCAGCTCTGTCCTTAGTCCGACTTTAGGAACATTGGTTACAGCAGAGATTTTGTTTCGTTCAATGTATCATTCATGGTTGAGGATCAAGGAATTATTATTAGCACCTTGAATCTTAGGCTGACACTTAAGGACCCTCTGCCATTGTAAGGACACTATTCAAAGTAATGTGTGTAAAAATGTTTTACTTAAAACATCTGTATCTCGTGAGATTGGCTTTCAGACTTTGAAAAGTTTGTTTTGTGCACCTCTTTTTCAGAATTGATATACAAGGAAGTTATGGACTTGGAGGAGAGAACCAAGAATGGAGTTATACGGGGGCAGCCCTCTCCTTTAGGTTGGTTACAATATAAGCTTGGTTAAGGTTGCAGTTGACTTCTTGTGTTATAATCTTCAGTGGCCTGAAACCTGCAGTTCTTGCCATGTTTATTACCATTATTATTCAAAGTTTACTGAGTATAAGGAATACAATTTGGGTGGTTAAGTTTGAAAGCACTGGTACACTGTTGTACCCGTACGTCATGCTAATATTTCAGGAACTGACATCATAAAACACACATCTTTTCTTATGATGCTCACATGCCATTGAAGAACAGAAATTTAAAACCTTTTTCTGTTGGCGTTGTTGTGTTTAAAGAAGAAATTTCTCACAGTTTAATATACTTACCTTCTATGATTTTAATAGTCTTTACTTTGAATAAATAAAGTTTCATTGCAAAATCTGGTACATGTAATACCAGGTTACCATCTCTCTCACTTTGGTATTTTTTGATTTGTTGAACTAAGGCAGTAACATTAAAACTGCCATTAGAAAGTGTTCTGTCTCTAAGAAGAAAACTGGTTTGCGGGAGATAAACGTTTTCTTATATGATAAGCTCATGTTATGTTTAATTTTAGTACTTGTAAAAGCATAAAGAATTGAGGGGCAAAGTTGAATGGCAGGTACATGTACATATGAAGTAGACGCTGCATGACAGACACTGGTGGTTTAGGCACTTGTAGTCACTTCAGAGGGCGTGGTTTCCCAGCATCTCGTGGAGGCCTCTGGCTGGCGCAGACTTGTGGCTTCAGAGCTTAAGACACTTGGATGGCAGAGGTGAAATAGGAACTGAGCCTTGAAGGCTGAGTAGTGTTTCAACAAATAGGTCTTGAAATTTGAGTAAAACTGTGTCATTTTAATTATTTCTTTAAAACTTTTCTATAGTCTAAGAAAAAAATTGGATATATCTAACATCTTGTTCATGGGTAAGATTTTAACTGTAGTTTCAGATGCCCATTTTGTTGTACTATAATCATATATTTGTTTAGATAATTTTTGTAGCTTCCTGTGACTTTTTGGGTTATATTTTAGAAATTTAAATTTTTTTGTTTTTTAAATTTTTGATTAGGAATGCAGTCTTCCAAATTATATAGATCCTGTTGAAAATATAAATTGATCTCAACAGCTTTTACCTACAATTTAGTTGGGAAAAAAGCTGTATTATAAATGCGTTAATAACTGAATAATTCATGAGCTTTGTGTTGCTGTACAGCAGTAGGATAGCTGAATTGTTCATGATAGAGGCTGGAGTGGCATTTGAGAAGTCCCTTATTTGGGAGAGTTTCATACTTGAGCATACTGTCTAGGGAGTGGCACCTTCTGAGTGTTCAGTGTTTGAGTAAACTTAATAAGCTCCTGAGATAGATAGAGCAGCAGGATTTGTTCTTAATTTATAAGTGAAAAATTTGGATCCCAAACAACATTTGACTATGGTTACAAAATAATTCAGTGGAAAGGATAGGACTGCAGATTTCTAGACATTTTCTGGGTTCTCACTTATAGCTTACAAAGAAGAGTATTAGTAAATTAAGCTGTTAAAGAAATACTCAGTTCTTGATTATATGCAAAAACAAAGGAGCAGTCTTTGACAAATCAAAATATCAGATCATCGCAATACCATTTTGACTTGATTTTAAAAAATAAAATATATTATTTTTCCTACGAATTGCCTTCCTATCTTTATTTTGGTTTGGCTAGTATCAAAATGACTTTGCATGCCTTTGAGTGTGTAGAGACTCACCTGAGACGGAGGTGACCCGTATACCTGAAATTAAGGATTTTTTTATTATATTATTGTCATTCAGATATTTGCGAATTTGCCATATTGCTTTCAAGTTCAGAAAAATCAAGTGTTTTCTTAGGTATTTGATTTTCAGATTAAAAAGTTAACTATGTAATTATGGTACATTTAAAAGCTAATTTCTATCAGATTAAGAAATCTGGAGAAAATGAAATTTGGATTAAAAACTAGACGCATGAGAAAGTATATATGGCGGAACCCTTTCATGATTTGAATGTTTCACTGCAGGTCTTTGAGTCTAGCCATGGTATCATACGATCAAGACAGGCATATTCTATATGGGTTGAACTTAAGAAAGTGTAGTATCTTCGTTTCCCTTCGTCTGGGAGCCTGCAGGACCTTTCCTGGGTCTAGAAGGTCGATTTCCTTTCTCCTTGTCCTCCCTCCTGTCAGTCTTGAAGGGCTCAGTCTGCTTTCCTTTCCCATTTCACCTCCCATCGCCTGCTCTATTTCTGGTGGTTTCTTTCCTTTCTGTCTCCCAGGGCCCTCCCCAGTGCCCTGAAGATTTGCCTGTTCCCACTGCCCCGGCTGTTTTCCTTGTTGCCTCTGAAGGCAGGCTCTCAGAGGACCTTTTATTCTGTAGTGTTTTTATTGCTCGTCATGGGACAGAAGGGAGGGGGAGTTTCAGATGCTGAGATGCTGGGTTCTGGAGCAGTGGCTTTCAGCCTGCTTAGTTTTCGCTCTGATGGATACCTGAAACTCACCCCAGACATTCTTTTTGCTCACTTTGGAAACCATTGTTTTGTAAATGTGTTCTTAAGAACTTTTGTATAACTTGCGTTATTTAACATACTCAAATTTGGATTCACCCTTAATGTAGTGATTAAGTAGTTCATGAATCACCTCGTGCCTGAATCACCTGTAACATCTCCGCCTCTCCCACTCCCCATGTCATTCCCTCCCCCTTCCTGGTCCGACCCCGTGAGAGGATTTCTCTGTAGGTTAAGGAGTCCTGTTACTTTTTAAAATCCAGGAAATGTTTGTTAGGCTGTACTTCGAGTAAGGGATACAGTCTTCCCCTACTTTATCTGTTTAATAAATCCATACTTACCTTATCAAGTATTTATTAGAATAGAAATAACAAGACCTCTGTTTACCTAACTAGGACACTTGTGTGACTGTGGCAAGTCCTGTAACCTATGTAAACTGGGGCCCTTGAACTGAAGGCTCTTCCAATTAAAATGACTTGGTCTTTGTTTTGGCTTTTACTTTAAAGCAAGTGTACCAGAAGTATTGTTTGGACTTTACCTTGAGAAGATATCACAAATTTGTTTTTATTAGGGCAGTAGTTTTTAACTTTTTGAATTATACATCCCTTTTGAGATTCTCTCTCCAACAAGATGCAATACAGGTAGTTTTGCATGTTTTATCAGTATTATTCACACACAACCTGAACTCAATTCATGAATCTTGCGGTAGGACCATTTCTAAGTGTGTCTTGAACTTAACAGTTCTTGTCTTGAACTGAAAAACAAATTCGTGGAAGGGTAGCACTCCAGGTTTCCAGACGTTTTCTGAATTCTCTTTATCATAACTTGCAATGAAAAGTGTTTGTGAATTAGTGTTGCCTATCACTTGTGATTATTATTGGTGAGGCTTTCAAAGCCAAGAGAAAAATTATTGACCACTGAGGGTAGTCAGTACAGTACCAGTAGCTCGGTCTGCAACTCTGTCTGCAACTGATTTGCTGTTTTGTTTCTCATAGCACAGGTGCAGCAGTGATCAATGGCTCTCAGCATCCATCGTCATCATCGTCTGTCAATGATGTGTCTTCAATGTCGACAGATCCAACTTTGGCCTCGGATACAGACAGCAGTCTTGAAGCATCTGCTGGACCTCTGGGCTGCTGTAGATGACTACTTGGGCCTTGGGGGGTGGGAGGGGTGGGGAGTCGTTTAGTCATTGATAGAACTTCTTTGAAAACAATTCAGTGGTCTTATTTTTGAGTGATTTTTCAAAAATGTAGAATTCATTTTGTAGTAAATAGTTTATTTTTTTTTAATTTCAAGTGATGTAATTTAAAACTTAAGTTGTGTTTTAAAACAAAACTGTATTGTATTTTTGCTGTAATTAACTGTATAATGTAAACCTAATTATTTTATCATGGTTTAAAATTTTTGCATATTTGCTTTATCTTATGCTGCTGATTTTTTTTTTTTACTGAATTTGTAAGATTTTGTTTATCAAAGCAACTATTATGTGGTGACTTGCCTATATCATGAATTATTTAAGATTTTTATAGTTTTTTTATTAGAATTTATTTCAGATGTTTTGTTCATGATGCTATCCTTCAGGGTTATGTGCTTATCAATGAAATAACCCCAGAGGAGTGAGGGAAAATAACCTATAGCCAGTTATATTCAGGAATAACTACTGTAAATGATGAACGTGTTAAAAAACCTCCAATATTTGCTACTTGCCAATCCTAATTTAGTTATAACAATTAGTAGGTAATCCTACCTGAATTTTGGCAAAGCCCCATCATCTAAATGGCAGAATAACTCAGAGCATGTCTTTGAGGATGCTGGTTGTCTACCACCACCCTCCCATCCCCCCCCACAAAAAAAGTAAAGTAAAAACAATCTGGTGTTTTCTGCAGTTTGTGGCATGCTCAAAGCTTACGATCACATAAGGTCAAGAGGATTCTTCATGAATAATACATTTCAATGCAAATAAACAGATGGTTCACTTCTACTAGCCATGAGCCTGTTTTTGTACACACTGAGTTAATCTAGGCTGCAGGTCCCAGCAGTGGTCTAGAGTCTGGTCTTTCCCTTTCCTGCAGCCTCCGGCCCTCAAACCTTTCTGGTTTCCTATTAGAGTGTCAGCTGAGCACCAGTTCTCAAGGTGTTTCTGGCCATTTTGTCTTACCTGTAGCATAGTCCTATTCACACTAGCTGTCGGGAGGTTTCAAAGCCTACTTCGATTTCTGTAGGTGATTATCAAATGAGCAATATACCGTTCATCTGAAAATAGTAGCACACAGCCATATATAGGATATCATTTTCTAAGGACTGTTTCTTCACATTGAGCAGAGCAGGCATAAGTGATGGTTATTTAGTCGGAGTCTTTTGTTTTTTATATCTGATTTTCGATAAAACATGCACTGTGGATGTTGAGTAGGGTAAGAATGGTGCTGCTCCTGACAAGTGTATGTTAACTGTTTACATTTTATATCTGCAGAATTATTTCTCTATAACTGAATCTTTCTTAAGTAAAATGTCATTGAAGTCTCCTTATCTCTGAAATATATTGTCTGTAATGCCCCAGGCACCTTTTGTTATTTTTGGAACAAGAGGGATTCCATGTAATGAACTGGGAAATGCATACTTAAATAATAAGCGACAAGGTTCCAGGCAGAGAGCCCGCTGGAACTAACGACCAACAGGAGCAAGAGCTGGCGCAGCTCGACATGCAGTGTCTGAAAGTTTGCTTGGCATGTTGTTTGTATATTTAGTGCGAAGTTCCTTTTGAGTAAGATACTTTAGGTCATTGTTAATGTGCAATATTTAGGATTAGAATACATTAACCTTTTTATATGCTTTGAAATTGCAGGTTTGTTTTTGATGGTTTAAAGTCACGATTTCTAGCCTCTTTGAAAGTTGTCGGCCTTTTTACCAAGCCCTTTTCTACTCGTACAACATGATGTGTTAATTTTGGGCAAATTAGAGTTTTGAGACGGTCACACCTCTTGAATTATAGAAACAAGATTGGGTTTATGATTTCAGCAGAAATTTGAGCATGAGCGTGTTCCTAGTTTATATTAGTTTGACAGTTAATTAGCTTTATTTTCCCCAGGATAGATTATTTCACCATTGCACTTTAACAACTGACGTGCTTTCAGGAGATTCCCATATTTTATGTTTGATTGCAGATAAGCCGTCTCTATTGATACAGATTTCGGTTAAGCAAGGAAAAGCAGATGTTCTTACTGTATGGTTTGTTGTAAATGCCAGCTCCCACTTGCCAACCAGCATGTTTCAGTTGATTCAGATAAAACAAACTCTTATTAATGTAGACTAAAATACTTAACAAATTATATCCTGAAAACAAAGTCTGTTTGTTAAATGTCGCGTGCCCTTGGCTTTTAAAATGCAGTATCTAAGTACAACTTTCTCTCTTCTCTTAAATCTGTTAAGCTAAAGATATACTAGTTCTTGTTATTTTAGAAGCTTTTTGAACCTTTAAGACATCTTAAACATTTGTGTTTTCTTTTTTAAAGAGAAATTACAAGTAAGATTTCTGTCAAGCAGTACTTATGTAAAGCCATCTGCTTATCTGAGAACTTTGGTTTTTCAACTTTCTATGCTTAATATACCCATTGTCTTACTGTTAGAAAATTATTTTGACCAAGATTTATTATTCAACTTAATAGATTAGGAAAGAGACACTAATTCCTTATACATATTTCTTCCTGGTTACTATTCTGTTACCCTCTAGTGTGTACTGACCATTTGTGAAATGATCGTGTTGTTGGGATTGCTTAATTATAATATACATAAATGGAGCATCTCAACTCTTGCATACTGTTTGCTGAACATTTCTCATTTTGTCACACACCCGCGGCTGCTGGTTGTTCCGGGTATGCACTCTTGCAAGTTGATAAAGACACGGTGCATTCACGCCAGACTTCCTGAGAGAAATGCCAGCCTCTTAAATGAGAAGGCTGCCACACAGCCCCCTTAACAAGACGGAGAAGCGTGATTGTATGTAGTGCAGCACGCTTTCCTGTACGCCCTTTTGTTATTCTCTCCATGCCAGTCCTGCTGTGTTTTCTAAAAAGATAAAGGTGAAGAGGCCATCCGTGTCTGATAGTGATGTAGTGAGGTGAGCAGCAGGCACTGCAGCTGTTTTGGGGTTGCAGAGAAGGTTTGGTCTACACTATCGGCCAGTGTGTGCTACACATGTGAAGACCTAACTACTCAGTGTTGCCTAGGCACAAGCCTGCACAACACTTTGAGGTAAAGACATAGTCTATTTTCAAAAGTACTGTTGTAGTTTGTTTGTGGGTGTTGTCCATTAGCCACTCATTAGCTGTAGAGTGAATGCATGAAGCCCCATGACCCCAGTAAACTTCTCTTACCGGTAGAAAAACCAGACACCACGGTTCTGTCATTAGCGGCCCTCCCAAATGTGGCCTCCGTGTCCTTTACATGTTAGTATGTGTTGTCCTTCTCCTGATCTCGCTTAGGTTTTTCCTGAGTCAGAGGAAACTCATTTTTCCTTAGTAGCAAGAAAGATGAAGAGGTAAAGGGCATTGAAGCAGAAATGTGTAGTTTGGGGTATGATTAGAAAACTTAAGGAAAACAAACGTCCTGATGAATTTCAAACTAACTGCTCTTAGTGAAGTGCTCTTAAGGAGAGTCTAGTAAGAGTCACACTTTCTGGCTGTTTCTGGTTTAGATTCTCTTCGTTACTGAAACTTTTGAGAACTGTTACCTGTGGATTAGTTTTGCACAATGTTCTGTTCTCACAGTAACTGACAAATTAAACTAGGTTTTTATTGAACTACCTCACACTAATTTTCTATGCTTTCCCAAGTGAGCTGTTGCCCTTCCTGTTAGATCTTTACTGAGTGTGAATTATAAATGTGTGTTCAATACTTTATAGCCACTGTCGACACAATACCGGAAAGTATGTAAAAGAAACCCCTTGCCTCGGTAAGAGAGACTCACATGGAAACTCTGTCACTGTATATCTGGGAAAATTGTGTTAGCTGTGCTCGTTGCACATTATTACTGTCTGTTTTTGTAAGTAGGAACCTGCTCATGATATCAGTCCATTCTTTACATTTTGCAAAAGGAATAAATCTTAGTAAATTTTACGAAGAAATAAATTACTTTTGTAGGCCCGATATTTGGTATATTTTTGAGAAGCTCTTAATCTTTTAGCCGAATGATGAAGTTAAACTGAACTAGCTGTCTTCCTGGACTGTGACATCTCCTTTCTCATTGCAGTTCAATAGGTTTTAAACCCTGAAACCCTCAGGATGAGAGTTGACGTTTGCTTTTCTCCTTGTGACGCCGTTCCTCCTCCGTCCCTGTCCCCGTCCTGTGTTTTGTCCCCCTCTTCTCTCCTCTAGACAAAACGAAATGGGGCACTTCGTAGGGAATGCTGAGATCATTACTGTGGTTTTCAATCATTCATGCCCTAGTCATTAAACACACACCACTGGAATGTAAACGATGTTATCTAGTATGTTCATGGTTATAATATTTTAAATAAAAAAGAAAAAAGTGGTATGAAATTAAGAGTTTCTTATTGAAAACAAAACGTAAATTTGTGGTGAACTTTTCTGCAGGCGTTTCTAAGATTTCCCACGGATTGGGAGTAGAACTAGGCAGGTTTCTTAGGTTTGGGTTTTACACTAATTGTGAAGAGCGTAAACTGTCGCCCCGGTTTTCTGGTTTATCTCGTCTCGCTCCTCTGGTGTTTGAAGTCACTAGAGAAACTTTTTTCTAAAAAGGAAGTTTTCTTCAATGGCCTTAACCTAGTTCTTGGTAGCCATATGAGCAGCTGTCACGGCCACTTGGCAAAAATAAATATTTAGAAAAGATCTGTTTCAAAACAAAGCGGGCATTTCGGCTTTGAGCGTGTTCCCGGCTTTTGCCCTGCGTATATTCTCTTTGCCCGTAGTGGGCAGGCTGCCCGCCGGGTGTCAGGGTCACTCGCTGCGTGTGTCCAGCCTTCGTGTGATGACATTCCTCTGTTTTGCTCAACTCTTGCTCCAGGTAAGCTTACGTGCCCACCGTCCCCACCCTTACCTGCACTCATCCTTCCGTGCTCTGAGGTGCGGACGGGACCCAGCCAGGTCTTCACCTGACCACTGCGCCATCAGCCGAGGTGCTTGCCGGCCCACGGCGTCCTGCTGCATCGTGGTGTGGGAGAGGCCACCAGGCAGAGACGGCGTGGCCAGAGCAGACAGTGTGGAGTTAGTCTCCACCCAGTCGTAATACCCCAGTGATACCAAATAAAACGGAGTAATTTGGTCTTGTCTAGATAGTGCACTTATTTCAGTATTGTTTGTTAAAAGGTCCTTTATTACTCTATATAAATGAATATTGATTTGTATGGATTTTGTGGTTTAAAAAATTCTTTTTAGCTTTTTTAGTTAATACACCAGTATGTCTCTGGACTTCATTTGAAACTGAAAGATACTTCAAATATGCTTTCTAAATGTTAGGCTTCTAACATCTTTCATTTAATTTCATCAGTTAATGAGTGTATCTATGTCTAAGATGCTGTGTTGGAAGCTGGGAGTGAGAGAAAAGTGTATGGCGTGGTCAAGTCAGCCCAATGGAAATAAGTGTAGTGTGGAAGAGCAAGGACCACGCTGAAGGGACACGGGCAGGAGGGATGAGAGAGGAAAGGAGGAAGATTTTGCAGAGGAGGCCTTTTTTGAGCCTTGGAATAAGAAGCTTTGGAGAGGAAGGGTGTTCCCAGGATAGGGGGAAGGCAAGGAGGTTCAAAAGTGTGTGCCTGGGCAAGGGACAAGGAATGGCCTGGCGTGGGTGTGGGACTACCAGAAAGAGGAGGATGGGAACTAAACATGGAGGGATTGTCTTCGTTTTAAAGGCAGTGGGAGCTCATCTGTGAGGAAGAGGCGTAATATGACCAGACCTGTGTTTAGGAGGGTCACTGACAGTGGGAGCAAGTCTGGTTAGACTGGAGGAGTGGACATCGGTGACTGGGAAGCTAAAGATACTCATGAGAGAGATGAGAGAGCTGAGGTCCTTTTTGCACGGAGAGAATGGGAAACGGGACTCAGGTTGCCATCACAGAGGCCACGTTGCCATTTGGGGCTGCGAGAAGGTTTCAGCCCCAATGATTGGGCAGCACACAAGAAGTTGTGCAGGGGAAGTGCATCCCATGTGTGTTCCCCTTTGTCCATTCCAGTGTGATGAGTCTGTGACAGAACATGTCAGGTATGGCATCAGCTTGCCGCTTAGCGTTGCAGGCGTTGGGGGAAAGGCTTGATTGCTCCCTGACTGCCTGTGGCCCTCTCTGGCGTAGGCTCCTCCCTCACGAGGTCTGTGTCATCCGCTTGTGTGGCCCTTGCACCGTTTCCCTTAGTGTCATTTTGTGGACAGAGGAAAGAGACGGGATTCCAGTTGGATGTAACGTATGTAAGACTTTCAGAGAGAATTACCTGGGCAGGTGAGGGCGTAGTTCTGACTGCTAAGGACTGAGTGAGTGGTGGAGCGGTAGTAAAAAGTACTCTTGAAAAGTTGGCAGGAAATCATGATGATGTCTTGGGAGAAAAGGGGGAGGCCAAGGGGTCAGAACAGGTTAGAAGGGAGAAACTGAAAGCACACGTGCCTTGGCAAGACCAGGTCCCAGGGAGGGTGCCATCTGCTGACTCCTCTGGACATGAGTTGGCCTGAGCTCAGGATGGGAGTTTGGGTCATCTTGGGCAAGTGTCCACTTTGCTGAGCCTGGAGCTGCTTCATCTGTCACACAGGGATGGGAGATCGGCTCTCGCAGGGCTGCTGTCATGGTTGACGTCATGAACTTTTATAGAAATAATCAGTGTAAAGCTAATGTAATTGCTAACTTTAGCCTTGGAAAAGAATAGAAATGATTTAAGATGGGGAGGAATTCTGTGTGGTCTCACGTCTGAGAACTTGGGTACCCTCTGACCCCCGAGTCATCTCCTCCATTCCCAGTAGTCCCGATCTTCATGTAGTTGGTAAGTAAGAAGAATTCTCCATTTGAGAGAAATGCCTCAAAGCCAGTACTGAATTTCTTTTGGGAATGAGAGCAGTGAAGCATTCTGTTTCGTGGATCATCCTGCCGTTCAGCCCGTTGTAGCTGAGCCTCCCCCATGGCACATACTTCACATGTTTGTGCACAGCTTGGGTTGATTACTCCCGCCTTTGCCTGTTTGAAGTCCATTGCTCAAGGCCCAGCTCAGATAGCTCTTCCTCTGATCAGCCTTCCCTCCAGGGCCTTTGTCCTTCCTGTGTGCGCTGCACGGTTGCTCACTCCCTGTGTTCCTTTGTTCGCTCCCTCTGCACTTCCTTCCACGGCGGGCGTTGCGCAGCAGCGTGTGGTGTTCCTCTTCGTGCTCTGTGAGCGCATCCGTATGCTTCCCCTACTACGCCTTTGCTCCGGAATGCCTGGGATGGGAGAACTGGCTTACTCCCAGTTAACAGTGCCGGGAAGGAGGCCTTCCATGCGTATTGGGCTGGGTGAGCTAGACCGATCTTCTCCACTGTGACTGTCCTCTCAAGTGCAGTGTTCGCGGCCCTCAGTGTGGTACGAGGGCACTGCATGCCGCGCTCTGAATGGTTGGAGTCCAGGAGCGCAAGCTCTGACACCAGAGACCTACAGCAGAATCCTGGCTTCACACGTGGTCCCTCGCCTGCAGCAAGATGCCCAAACTCTGCGTGGCTCTGTCTTCTCAGAAGGGGTTAGAGGGAGAAAGTGATTCTGACACAGAATTAGAGCCATGAGGAGGCTGGTTTTCTTGCTATGCCTCCTCCATTCGTTATCAGCTGCCTTAGAGAGCTAAGTACCCAACTGCAAGCAGTGATGAATAGGGAGCTGGGTGCAACAAAGAATGAGGTAGGCTGAGCTCCACTTGTTACTAAGAAGAGAACCAGGTAGACCACAGGAGATGGCTAGTGGAGGCCAGCAAGGGATGAGGAAGTAGAAGAGGGGCACATGGTGCAGCCCTGGCCCCCACGCTTCCTGAAACCCTTCTAAGACTGAGTATCTGGTAACATTTCCCCAAGTTCATCGCACAGAACGCTAGTTCTGAGTTGAATTAGTGACAGCATTCATTGAGCGCTCCCTATGCCGGGCACTAAGTGTTCTGCCTATATGAGCTCACAGAGCCTTAATGACGACTTGACAAGGAAGGACTGGTACTCTCCCCTCTTATCAGGTCATCAAACTGAGGCACAGAGAAGCTGAGTGACTTGCTCAGGGCTACGTGACCGACACGGGGTGGGGCCAGGCTCTGAATCCGGGAGGTCTCGCTCCAGTCCTCACTTTGTAACCAGTGCTCTACTGCCTGAGAAGGTTGATGTGAATAAAGGGTTTTGTGTTCAGCTAAGGTTGGGGCTCCTTAAAGTAAGCTTGCCCATCATTTCTCAGGACATCTCTAAGATGTTGGTGGGCATTTCCATAGACCTGCTGCAGCTCTGTCCCTGTCTGCTCTTCTCTCTGAAGCCAAGCCTTCCACTTTGTCTTGTCTTTTTTCAGAGTTGCCCTCTTTTCTTCATCACCGTCTCTCCCTTTCTACTGGATCATTCTTAGCAGCATACAAACATTCTCTAGTAATTCCCGTCTTTGTAAAAAGCTCTCCCTTGCCCCTTCCGCTCTATCATCCTATTTCTCCGCTCCCACCCACATTGGGAGAGCTTGATCTGGGCACAGTGTCTTCCCTTCTTCGGCCCCAAGTCTTCAGCCTATTCCTGTCTGGCTTCTGGCCTGTCGCTCTCCTACACGTGGCTCGGACCACAGGGATAGCTCCCTCACTAGTTTCCCTACGGCCGCTTTGTCGCCCTGTCCTCCCCCGACAGTTCATCTGCTCTCCACCAGTGGCCACAGGAGCCTTGTTGAAATGCAAGCCAATTCATGTCTGTTTTGAAGCTCTCGAATGCTTTCCTGTCTCCCTTAGAGTAAAACTAACTCCTTACCATGCGTGACAGGGCCCCAGAGTGCCCGGCCCCTGCCTGGCCCCGCCCATGTCCGTCTGCCACCATGCCCATAAGGGTGCTGGCACTCACGTACTTCCATAGCTCTCCCCTTTCTGCCTGCAGCTGGCTGGTTGCATGGCTGCCCCGTCCTGTCCGTCAGTCTCAGTTTAAATGGCACCTCACGGAGAGGACTTCCTCACCAACTTGTCTAAAACATACCCCCAGGATCACCTCTTTCAGAGCACTTACTAACAGTCTGAATGTATCTTGTTTATGTTTACTTCTGTTAAAAAACACAATTCAGGGGCCAGCCCAGTGGCATACCGGTTAAGTTAGTATGCCCCGCTTCTGCGGCCCGGGGTTCGCCTGTTCGGGGATCCCTGGCAAAGACCTTTGTACCGCTTATCAAGCCATGCTGTGGCAGGCGTCCTACATATAAAGTAAAGGAAGATGGGCCCACGTTGTTAGCTCAGGGCCAGTCTTCCTCAGCAAAAAGAGGAGGATTGGCAGTGGATGTTAGCTCAGGGCCAATCGTCCTCAAAAAAAATTCAACTGAGTAAATTTTTACGATCTTATTGGCTTCATTCAATGATTCATGAAT